TAGGACCACTTCTGTATTCGGCGGAGGATAAGCCGTATTATAGGACGGGGCTGATTTCTAATCTCGCTATGTTCTGCTTCGTTGAGTTCTTGGTCGGGTAAGTCTTACTCTAACCCCAACCCCAGCTCCGAACCTTTCTTTCCTTTCCCAGACAGAACAGAAAAGCAAGGCAAAACCCACCCGAAAAAAGTTCGAATAGCTGACAGCTATCATCAAGTTTCATCATCCTATACCTCAAGTTCCTCAATGCTCGTCACAGCCGCATGCGTTCTGCGATTGGGAAGTCTGCTCATGTGCTTGACGAGTCGATGATGCGGAAGACTGATCTTCAGAATTTGGGGAAGGGTGTTGGGCAGCAGACTATACCGCGTGAGGAGGACAATGCGTTTGCGGATATGACGGATCTAATGAACGAGGATTTTATCTACGTTTACTAATATATCTACTGGGATTGGGATTTGGTGAGAGCACTAAGAGAAGCGTACGGTCTTAGGGAATCAATACTTTTTGGAATAATCGATATTTACGACTTTAGTACAATCCAAGACCTATCATTGAAGAACAAATGCAAGATAAGTCGCAGTGAATGTTCGAGAGGGGGGGGAGGCACATCCAGGGTTGGAATGACACAATAGTTATCAAATGTTCACACTCTAGCCAATTCAGGGTAATGAAAACACAACAGCCGCCAATCTCCACTTCCGACGAGTCAATTTCTCTTGAGTATCACGCGATCTTTCCCACAACACGACATACATTAAAATCCGCTTCTTTGCCAGCGGACCACAGTAACAACGTCAGGTTATTCACCGATCCAGCCATATTGAGTACCAAAGCAACAAGCATTGAGTGCATTTCTCAAGTTCAAGGTTGGTCAGAGTGGAGGACGGCAAATTCAACTTCATCACAAGGAATAATAGAACTCGTATATGGGGAGCCGCGTTGATCCATCTGTCACACGTTAGTCATGAGAACGAAAAACGAGGATAACCTACTGAATCATAGTCGGGGATTATGCAAGTCGAAGAACTGCTCTTCGTACCAATCGGGTGTGAAGAGCCTCTGAATCTATCATAGTAAAGGTGCTTGGATGGTGGCCAGCGATCCCATCGAGTGGGAAAGTAGCCGTACCACTAGACGATGAAGGGTCAGTACCTATATGTTCTGGGCGTGGGGGTGTTCCCATGTCACAAGTGGAATAGAGAGCTTTGATGAGCCCAAGAGTCACTTACCGGCTTGTTATCCATCCGCTTCGGAGGCGCTTCCCCTGCAAGCTTTTGGGCTTGATTGCAGGCTATGATCCATCTCGCCCAACCACGGCGAGCAGCAAGTTCTGGATCTCTCAACACAATGATCGGGTCAAGCATTAGGCGAGTACTTCGAAATGCCTTGTCGCGAAGACTTTCCAGATGCTTTCGGTCTTTCGACCTTTCGCGGATATGATGTTTGTGCTTGATAGCACCACTGTATTCTTTTGCCTGTGGTGGCCTCGAAGTGAAATTGTCGGTGTGGATACTGCCTAGCTGAGAGTGGTACATATCCATGATGTCCAGTCCATACTGTTCTTCGCCAGGCATGTCGAGTCTCATGATGAATCCCTTGGGTCGAAAGAACTTCACATCCTCTTCTGCACAGATATCAAGGATCTTCTCGACTGCATAGGCTATCTTTTTACTGGCCAGTGGTTCTGTCAACTTGTGGCAAAAGATTGACCAGTCCTGCTTGGTGATTCCGAATGGTGCCAATTCTTTTGGATAAGGAAATCCACCTTCAAGTGTGTTGGTGTTCTTAGCCATGATTTGAATCCCTCGAGGGAAAGCTTGTGCAGGAGTTTGTTTGGGTGTGGCTCCAGGATCCGATTTCGATGCCTTTCGCGACGCAGCCCCGTCATTTGTTTGCACAGGATCACACTGAGAGAGGGTATGTTCAGGAGGGCAGTTTGAACCATTGGGATTCTCTTTATCTTTTGACTTGGCGTTCTCTGGCTCTTTGGGCTTCTCTGCCTTCTCGTCGCCTACAACAAGTTAGTTGGCCGGTGTGGAAAGAACAGGAATCAGACAGACTTACGTGATTTGATTAACTTCTTCAGCTTCTTTGCATCCGAAGAGGATAGCCAATGATCTGTATCCACGCAATCATCCTCATTTGAATTGGAGTTTCCCGTTTTGGCGGCTTTCTTGTGCTTCTTCTCCATGTCCTTCTGCTTCTTGTTCTCTTCCTTGGCCTTCTTCTCCTCCTCTTTCTTATACTTTTTATCCACCTCCTTCTTACGCTTTTCTGCTTTTTCTTTCTCCTTCTCCGCCTTTCTAGAATCTTTAGGAGGTGCGTCGTGGTCACCGTCGATGCCCGCCGCCGGCTTGGTAGAGCTCGTCAGCGTCGTCGACGATTTTTGGCCATCCGAGGACTGATGATCCGCATTGTGGCATTCCTCTGGGTTGCCCGCTCTTGGGGACTTTTCCTGAGTCTTGGTCTCTGTTGACTTCTCTGGGGTCCTGGAAGGGTTGTGGTCAGCATTTAGACATGCTTCCTCTGTTTTGCTAGAATCTCGGGACTTTCTTGACTTCGATGAAGATCTTGGCTTCTTCGACTCTTTTGACTTGATGTCAGATGACGATTCGTGCTCAGTATCTTGGCACTCTTCGTCACTCCTTGTCGAATCGCGGGACTGCCTTGATTTAGAGGACTTCCTTGACTTCTTAGTCTCTGTTGGTTTCAAAGTTGCCGAAGAGTCATGGCTCGTATCAACCTTGCTACGATTCGACTTCCGTGACTTGTCGGACTTCACAGCTGTCCTTGTCTTCGGAATCTTCGACTTAGGACTCGCAAGCTCGGTAGCAGCTTTATCGTGGTCAACCGATGGACATGTCTCCTCGACCGTATCGCTCTTCTTCGATTTTCCCATTTCTGCTTTGGCGATCCTATGGACCTCGACAATTGAATCGTGACGCTTAAAGAAGAGGGGTTTGGCTTATCTTTGTCTCGCAGGAGGTATTCACAGAGAATTTGATGCAGTGTCGTAGGTGTCAGGAACGGCCTGTTGGATGTTAGTGACGCTATAGGCACAAGAGCTTCGACCTTCTTGATGTGGGGTTCCGTTGTCGGATAATGATGAAAAGGGCATCTGCAGTGACTAAGGCATAATAGAAAGATGCTAGGTAGGAAGATGATGGGAGAAGTAACAGAGATGGATGAAGGATGTTCTCGATCTACCACTGTCGTGCCTTCCCCAAGTATACCTACCTACTCAAACAGCAACCACGCCCAGACCAAAACAATGTAGGTAGAGAAATTCATTGGTATCTCTAAAAATCAGCAATACAGTTTTCCATGTCGTCCCAAACTCCAACGCTGCAAATCAATTCGTCGTACATTTAACGTCTGCCACGTCCTCCACGTCCCCGACTTCTGCTTCGGCTTCGGTCCTCATAACTGCTGTAGCTGCTATAACTTGGGCTTCTCCTCCTCCTACCACCATTTCTCGCTGGGCTTGTTCTTCGTCCACCACCTCCACCGCCTCCTCGTCCTCTTCTTGGGGGAGACCGTGAGCGTGATGAAGCGGATCTAGATCGAGTACGGTGGCGTCTTGGGGATCGAGATCGTGAGCGAGATCTTGGCCGGTATGTGTCGGTGTTTCTCTCAGCTCTGCCGCCGTAGGGTGGCAGTGGGGATCGACGTCTGGCTGGAGGAGGGGGTCGAACATTGGGAGCTGCATTGAAAGATGCTCGAGGATCAAGATTCAAGCCGCGTCTTGCGAGAGGTGGGGAGGGAGAGAATTTGCGACGAGGAAGAACGATAGAAACATTGATGACAGCTCCGTCGATTTGGGATTCGTGCATATGGGCGATTGCAGCTTCAGCATCGGTTTCGGAGGTATATAGGATATAGGCTGTTCCACGATTGGTGTTGACTAGATAATTAGCTTTGAAATAGGATGGCAGACCTCCATTCTTACAAGATCTGTTCATTGGCATGTCTAAATCGCGAATTTGCCCATATTGACCAAATATCTCTCGGAGGTGCGCTTCATTGACATTCTTCGTAAGTTTCTCAATAACAACCTGCGATTGTTAGCTGCAGCCACTTCTGCATAATTGGAGCTTACCTTTGTGCTTCTGATTGGACTTGGACTTCTGCCACGACTGACACTGCGACTTTCACTTCTGTATCTGCCATTGCGACGTGGGCTCCTGCTAACGGATCGAGGGGTGATTGAGCGACGAGGTCTAGAGGCAGACCGGGAATTTCCTCTGCCTTTGGATACGTCGGAATATAGTGAGCGACTGCGCGCACGACCTCGGGGCGATTCTGAAGCCATGGTCGTGTTGATGTTGAAGGAATGCCGTGAGCTTGATGGGGCGCGTTCGGGAACGCGAGGCTGTAGATTTATTAGGCAGTCACGTGACTTGCCAGTTTGTTTTCTATCAAAAGTTGGTGGACTTGCACTTGCGGCTCTATCGAGGCAATCAACACATCTGCAGCTTCTTGAGAAAATGCGGTTTGAAGTTCTGCTGCATTGACTGAAGTTTAGCTTGAGGCAAATTCCGGATAGCATAGTTCTACTCTTCGTGCGAAACAAGCCAGACCAAGCGATGAAACAATCAACTTTAAACAGAAGCCATCTTATCCATGGATAGCTACTCCATTTGTAGAGGCTGTAGATGTATTACAGGCACCAAAGTAAAGGATTGCCCCAAGTCCTTTCTAATTAAACAAAACTCCGCCTTAAGTTTTGAAAGGCGCGAGGAAACCTCTTTAAGGTCCACGTTACTCTTGTCTTTAGCAAATGCAAAAGTTAGTTATTATATTACTTATTATCTATTTGCTGTATATCAATATTCTCGGGTTTCGCTTAATCACCTTAGTGTTAGGTTAATCTTCTTGTCTCGCTAAAAAAAATTCAAGAAAGGCTAAAATTAGAAGAAAATGCCAAAAAGAAGGTACTGCAGTTATTACTGCCCTCGGACGGAATCGAACTATTTCAGAATGAGTTGAGCACTGGGAGTCTATGAAGAGTCAAACTTACCCGGCAACCTCGTCATTACTAGTGACGCGCTCTACCATTGAGCTGGAGACCTGTTAGCACTTATGTGGGAAGTGGTGCTGGAATGAACTTGCCTACGAGGGCTGATTTGAGTGTTCGATGCGTCGAAATGTCTTATTTAGCATTATTAATATATTATTAAAAAATGGATTTCTATGGGGTGGATCTACGGCCAGTCAGGGCTTAAAGTTTGAGGCTTGGTACTTACCCCAGCCTAACGAGCCTGGAGGCACGGGTCTGTGCGCTACAGGGCATTTCATAGCCAAATGATAAATGATAATTCTTACATAAAATAATAATTCAAAAATCTAGTTAGTAGAAAGACAGATATACTTCTTCTTTATCGTGTATTTCAATAATAAAGCAAAACAATCAAGCGTTCGTTGATATATTTAAGCGTGAACTTTGTATTTTCTAAGCCTGAAAGTGCCTCGCGAAACCGCCTGTAGACCACACACCCATGCCTCCAGGCTCGTAAGCTCCGAGATCAGATCATCTCTCTTTTCCTTCGTTGCAAGTGTCACATACCTCAGACACAGCGACACAAAAAAGGCAACAACTCTCAATAAAAACAAGTGACACGACCTTGTCATACGCCAATCGCTGTTGATGCAGCAGTCTGGCCTGAAAAGTCAAGTGGCATCCGCGACTTCGTAGGTCCTGCTACGCTCTTCTGTGGAGGCTTTCCCAATGCATCTGGGGTTCTCTCAACCTCCGAAGTTACATTGAATACCTTCCGTCCATTGGAAGTAGCAGGCAAATATAATCATCTCTCAAATAAATACATGTTTTTCTTTTGGTTTTCCGGCTTTGCATCGACTCATTGCACCCTCGAGCTCCTCACTTCAAGAGTCGACACATCGCACCAAACTTTTCGGACCACCGCCGTGGGAAACCAAAATAAGTAGTACCTACCTACCTTAGGTAGGTATTTGCTCTATGTACGGGTTCAAAGCCTTCCTTGAGTTTGGAAGGCACCTAGGCGTGATTTTCCAAAATATCTTCTTGTACCTCCTTGGAAATCTCACTCCATGTAGGAGTCTCCCACCACCAATTACCCTCTGCTCAGATACCAGGCATCCAGCAAGTCACAAACCCTACAATCTCATTTCAGCATCACACATCAAACAACAACTAATCTACCAGAAATACGCTCTATGTCATTTTTTGTCTGAAAAAAGCTCTCTAATCCTTCACGGCACCTTCGAAGATGCTCAAGCACCATTACCAGGCACACTTCCGCGGAGGCTTCAAATGCAGTGATCCCACCCCAGCCAAAGAACCTCCAGCCCGTAAACGCCATATCAGGGTATCATGTGAAGCCAAAACCATGGGCTTGGGCCAGAAAATTTCCATGCCAATCTGTGCCACGCCATACAAAACCCCATAGCCATTGTATCCCACCTCATGCCCTAGAAAATGGCTCATACGGAAAAGAAAAACAATTGATGCCGTCATCATATGAATGCTAATCGCGGAAGCGAGAATGGCTCGTCGAAAATGTAATGTACAGAGGAATGTATCTAGTTGCCGTTGAAAAGGAAGGCCAGCTGTTGAAGATCAAGACGACCCATGTTCTTGGCAGCATTCTCATCAAGAGCGCTCTCGACCAAATGTCGCTTTTGTTCTTGAAGTTTGATAATACGGTCCTCCACGGTGCCTTCAATCAGGATTCGATGTACTTCGACCGGATTTTGTTGACCAATACGATGAGCTCGATCGACAGCTTGCATTTCGATGAACGGGTTCCAGAAAGGATCCAAGATGATGACCTTAGAAGCAGCGACCAGGTTGAGGCCAGCATTGCCGGCTTTCAAGGAGATGAGCATGATGTTGTCTGTGGAGTATTAGCATTAGGAAGAGGCTAGAAGATAAAGACTCACGATCACGGGAGTCTGTGAATCTGTTGATTGCATCATTCCGTGATTCTGCAGACATAGTACCATCGTAACGTAGACATTCCCACTTTTTGTCGTCGATCGGGACTTGAAGTAAGTCAAGAAGAGATACGAACTGACTGAAGATGATCGTCTTCTGGCCACTGGCGATGAAGGTTTCGAGGAGCTCGACGCACTTTGTGACCTTTGCGGATGGTTGCCAATGCTTGCGAAGATACTTCATATATCGACGTCGTCCAGCAACCGTCTTGGTTGCTTCCTTCTTGAGCATAGCAATCGAGAAATGAGCCTTCTTCTCGGGCTTCTTACCCTTGGACTTCCGGCGCTTCTCCTTTCGCTTGCCTTTACTCTTGGAATTTGTCTTCTTTGGGGCCACATCCACCTCATCATCGTCAGCGTCAGCGTCAGCGTCGTCACCCTCCTCGTCATCGGTATCTTCAATGTCATCAGGCACGACGAAACCTCTCAAGTCTCCATCACTGCCTTCATCGTCTTCCGATTCTGTTTCGGATTCATCATCGCTATCGCTCTCGCTATCACTCTCGCTTGCCGTCTCCTCTTCATCAGGAGATGGCTTGTGGGCCTTTATGAACATGGAATGGTCAATGACCTTGTTCCTTGCAAGAACTCCACGACACGTGGGACATCTAAGCTGGTTACCACCATCATGACCTTCAGCAACGTTCTGCTGGTCAGCTTGATCTGACATACGTGTCATACACTCAGAGCAGGTGTCATGACCGCACGGAGTGATGATCTTGGGATTGACGACAGCGTCGTAACAAACTGGGCACTCAAATGCACCATCAGCATCAAGGATCCGATTGACAACCTCAGGAGCCAGACTTTTCGCCAGCTCCATCATGGCTTTGGCATTGTCGGGATCGACATCAGGTGCCTCTTCGAAGTCCTGGATGAGGTGGGGATGGCAGCAGGCCTGTCGTAGTCGGAGGAGCAGAACCAAGACATTGGTGTAATTCTTCCCGACCGTCCCAGCCTTCATATACTTGTTGAACTGAAGCTGGGTCTTGGTTTCAAGTGCGGCGTAAAATGCCGTCTCATCATCGTCAAACACAACATGTTGGACCTCCTCTGTCTTGGGAGGGAGGGTAATGATTGGCTTTCCGTCGATCAAGGATTTCTTGGTACGTCGCAGCAGGATGGCCTTCAGGAGAACTTGGAGCTTCTTCATGGCACTATCAGCACTTCGCTGGCTTGATTTGGCGGGATCTGGTTTGGTGAGGCAGCCGAACACGCCCTGAAATCTGGTCCATTCGTTGTAAGGCTTGATTCTAAGAAAGTGAATCAAGGAATACAGCTCTCCTACATTGTTCATCATGGGAGTACCGGTGAGGCAGAATCTGTAAATGGCTTGGAGGGTGCAGCATGCTCTGGCAGCACCAGTGGATTTGTTCTTGATGCACTGAGCTTCGTCGAGGAGAATCCGGTACCAAGTGCTCTTTGGGCCGAGTAGCGGGAAGGTCTTCTTCATCTCATTGTGATCTTGATGGGTAATGCCATCCAGCTTCATCTTGTCATAGAGCTTCTGAAGACGCTTATACTCAGCTCCTAGAGTGCCATATGTCGTGAACACAACATCATACGTTCGGAGTTCGTCCCAGCTCAATCTTTTGCCGTTCCCGTGGACCATGTGTGTACTGAGCCTGAACATGGGCAGTGTTTTGTTTCTGAGTTCTCGATCCCACTGGCGGACAAGTGCGACTGGGCCGACGATCAAATTGGTTTTGCGTGCCGGATCACCGGAGGGTCGAGAGTGCATAAGTGCGAGAGCTGAGATGGTCTTTCCCAAACCCATGTCGTCTGCAAGGATGCCACCTTTATTGGTGCCAGTTTCCATTGCCTTCATCCATGTCAGGGCGATCTTTTGATGCTCGTACTGAACTTGTTAGCTGTGCAAATTATAGCATGGAGATGCAACCTACTAAGGGGTACACAAGAGCCTCGGGGGTTCCTTCCCTATCTTCGGGGGCAAGGTCGACATCCGGTCGAATATTCTCGAGCAGCGCCTGGATTTCTTCGGCGTTATTGCGCGGATCATTCATCACGTATCCAAGTCGATCCCTTCCTTGTTGATCAAGATGTAGATACTCTGATATTTCGCCGTAGTTGTTGCCGTTGGCTCGAGCGATCAGGTCTGCCAGGTTTGGATCTGGGTTTGCTGCTCCATAGCCAGTAAATATAGGGAGGTCGTCCATTGAGAATTCATCAGTCAGATCGATCTTTTGTCCTTGTTGCATAGGTTGGACAAAGTCGAGGTCCATCCCAGGTTGAAGTCCATTCATCCATTCGTGTTTGAACTGGCTGCCAAACAAAGCCTGCTGCAGTGCATCGTTTGATCCAGAACTTCTAGATGACCCCGGAGCAAAGCTAGGTGATTCAACCTTGGTGTGTGCATGACGACCATTGTCACGGAAAGCCGACGCAGGAATGATCTCGATATCGGAATCTGAAGCAGTAGAAGAATCATCCTGGAAGCTACCTGGCATAGGCAATGATGTTTGCTCCCGCTTGAAAGGTTTCTGGGCTGGGGAAGAAGCGTAAGAGTTGTAGGGCGCAAAACTTGGGGTCTCCAGTTTGATGCCTGAATTCATTGACTGAGGTTCTGCTTTGACGGAGTTGCCAAATGGCGGAGGTGGAGGCCCCCATGGAAGACTTCTGCCAGCTTTAACTCCGTTTTGATACTGGTTTCCAGAGCTGGATGAATATGGGTTCACATAGCTTGATGACTGTTGGTGGGCGCCAGACATCCGATCAAAGGCATTTCGGCCAGGAGGTTGCATGGAACTCGACGGAGCGTCCATTTGGGCGGCGTCAAAACTCTCCTGGACACTTCGGGCAAACTCTTCGTCTAGTCTCTCTAGCTCGAGCCTTGATACCTCGTCCTGCTGCAATTGAAAGAAATCTCTATCAAAGGCGTCAAACTTGTCATCACTAAAGCAAAGTCAGCCTCGAAACAAACATGTCAAGAATTGTGTCTAAAGATGGCGGGCTGAGAAGCATTGGATATGAGAACAACAAAGTGAGGTTTAGCTAGCTATCCCTAACTATCGGGTACCCATACCTTGAACTGCTTGTAGATGGTGTAGGAGGACCAGTGCCAAAAGGGCTCAATG